GGATATTTGTTTTTTACAGTAATAGCGTTCAAGCCACAATAATCTATGCAAGGACAGAGGCCACTGTCCTTCTTCCCCACAAAAAAGAACCCTGCACCCAGGGGTGAGGAAGAAGGACGGATCATACCTGCACACCGAGCAGTTTCTATGTACTCCTCCAGAGCCTGTTGTTCGGGTTTGAGATGCGGAAGAGGCGAATGTCGGGCAACGGGGCTCCCGGGTACAGGTCAATAGCACAGTCGTAGGGTCTATGAGGAGGCAAAGACTCAGTGGCCAGGTGTTTGCTGAACACCAGCTGGAGATCATGGTAGACCGAGGGGACAGATGATAGGTCAGGTGGCTCCGGAGGTGTCAGAAGGGAGGATGTGGTGGGTTGTCCGGCCAGAAAACAGGTCGATGCACAGGTGGGGCTCCATTGGGTAATGGTTCCGGTGGTCCAGTCCACGGAGAGGTTGTGTTGGACCAGCCAGGAGTGACCCAAAACCAGGGGTGTGTCCGGGACAGAGAAGATGTGAAAACGGATGTCCTCATGGTGATTTCCGGCGATGGTGAGGTGAAGAGGTGGAGTCCGGTGAGTGATGTGGGTCAACAGCCAGCCATCAATGGCCCGGGTCTCAATGGCACGGGGGAGACATTCCGGGGTGAGGCCTAGTTGTTCCACCAGGACCGGGTCCATAAGATTACCCCCGGCTCAGACTGTCTCCCACTGTAACAACACAGCCAAATTTCAGACACCTTCTAAAGATTAAAATATACTCAGTTTGGCTGAGAAAAGACATTTTTCATAGTAGTTCACAAAAAATTGTTCATTGGTTTCACACATAACTGTTGTGAACATTGTCTGTAAAGTGTGCAATACAGTCATTGTGGACAGAAACCAGACAATGTGCAGAAGAATCTATATGCACTGCCAGCTAAAATATCATTTTTTATATATTAACATCTCATTGTGTTTACAGATTTCCAATACTGAAAGATGCCATGTTGCAGGCTTCCTTCCTGAATAAATTAAATCCTCCTGAAGGGAAATCAATCGACTTCACTCTCTGAAGGTGTTTATTAGTATGAAAACAGGGATGGGATCCCAGTGAGGAGGATTGTCCTGTATAACTGGTCATCCATCCATGGAAACTGTCAGTCCTCCTTCACCGGCCCTGCCCGGTGTTGGCCTTTTGTTCTACCCTAGTCCTTATAGCCAAACCAGCCCACATGTCTGTCTCTCTTCTGGGATCACTGCACACTTCCACCTATGATTATGAACATATTAAAAAAGTAAATATTAAAAAACAATGTCATACAATGCATGAACTTTAGCTGAATACTTTGTTAGTACCCCAGAAGAACAAACTAGGGAAGAACACAGTCTCAGAAGGTTTCTCATAAAAACCATGCACATCACATCAGCAGCACAAGTTCTTTCAAAAACTGGTGAAGTTTGACGTGAAATTGTCCTGATGCCTAAGGGCAGCTTCAGACTATACACAAACTACATAAATGCAGCTGTAAATGCAAGGCTCACACATGTATTTATGTACACAAGCAGTGGCAGTCCCTCATCTTGGCAGATGTGATACACCTCCCACCCAAATGGAGCAAGAGTCACTGGCTCATGGTCTTAATCAGGTCATGTGATTTATCCAGTAGAAACAAATATTGCTGCCAAAGAGGAATGAATTCTTTTGCTTCTATTAAACTGCTGCTGGTAAAGGAAAAAGAACAGGTCTGCGTTTGCCCTATCATAAAGATGCTGATGAACATGAACAACTTTGCACAGCCTGTCTTGTTTGTTTTATTTTGTTTAGTGTATTTTTTGTTTTGATAATGGTAACAGTTTTGCCATAACTGACCTCAAAGAAACAGCACAGGAGGGGTTAATGAGACAACCAAATCCATTCTAGTACTTGGGCTGCTGTACTATTCTCTGACCTTTGACCTCTGTATGGAGGCAAGAGGAAAAGGCTATAAAATACACACAAAACCTAAGCTTTCTACAGTTAGCCAGTGAGCAGTGTGTGCATGTGCGCCTATAAATGTGTTTCTATTTGTGAAGCAAAAATACCACAGGTCCCTCCAAGCCATTTATGCACCTGCTGGACACCTGTTGGTGCGTCTCCTGATCCTCTCGGTGAAGATGGAACTAATCTGACCTGTGACACCGAGTCTGGACAAGCTGCTGCGACAACGACAAGACGTGCCAGCTCCAGCTAACATGTGGGGTTAATGCTAATGATGTGTGGACACAGTCTGTCAACAGGTGGTAAATGAGGAGCGACAGTGGAAGACATTTTGTAGGTCAGGTGTGTAGCTTGTCAATGGTGCTGCTGAAGAGCGAGCACATTCCTAAACCAGCAATCCACTTCACAATCTTTTAAACCGCTGATGAGAAACAGCTGAGCGTTACCAGTATTTTTGCTAAAGTTTGATGCGCTCTTCTTCCTGTGTGTCTTGCTTTTCTTTGCATACCAAAGCCGGCCTGAAAAAAATACAAGTGAAAAGAATTTAGCTTTTAAAGATGAATTATTTCAATCCACTAGATGCTGCAAATTGTAATATCATGTAAATCAGAGTGGATGTAAAATGTTTACATTTGCAGTGTCTTAGTCACACTGTTTGCATTTCAGTATTCACCTTGGTGTTCTCGACTTCTGTCTGTAATAGTTTTCTTCAAGCTCTCTCTGTGTTGCTGAAAGCTTTTCCCTAAGAAAAGCAAATGGAACCAGATCAGATACCCAACACTCTAAATTTATATACACAAATCCAGTGTCTTTTCCACTTCAAAAGTCTCTAGTTATTTAAAAATGTGTTTGAACATTTTGGATGTCTTGAATGATAACTGATGAATGATATCACTGGTGAATGCAACGGAGCTCATACTGTTCTCAAACTTTCCTGACATGCTGGAAAACAGGCAAAACGATGGCCTGCTTTTCATTTCTACTGCTTAACGTCCTTTAATTCCAGCCACAACAGGCCTTGGGTCAAAGAGTAATCACATAGAAGGTGTTTGTTTTAATCTGCTTGTTATGCCAAATGGGGGTGTTTCCTGCCAGGATGGTTCATGTAGTGTCAGGTTAGTTATTAGTGATTAAGTATATTCTTCACGTAGTAAAATTGTTTTAAAACTTTAATAATTGTTGCTGTTTTTTGTTTTGCTAGTATCACTGACTATACCTTTAATGCAGTTTGTACAGTTGGAGTAGTTTAATACTCCAACTGTTATATACCTGTATACCTGAATACAAAAGTAAAAAAAACACAATAGAAAAATAATTACACATTTTACCATACCTGTACAGATTCTTCTACATGTTTACATTGTAGTAGTGTGGCCTTGCAGCTGGAATCTGCCGTTGTAAAGCAATAAACTTTCAGCTGTGAAACCAGTTGGTTTTCAAAATCAATTGTTGCTCTGATTTTCTGTCCCAAAGCAATTTACTGCAATGTGTCACTTACTGTAATCCAGTAGATTCTAACTTTTTTTTGTGCAGACATGTCTGAATAAAATACTATGGGATATTTTACTACTAGCTGTGTACTATTTTGAATGTATTCAGCTCTTTATTATTCATAATGAAGTGGCCATTTCAGCATTTTCAGGGCAATTCTTCAGGAAATGCATTTGTCTAGTTAACACTCTTTTCCCAAACTGTGTATATGAATTACTAAATACCCTGCAAAGAAGCAATACAGGAACTGTTAGAGTTACAGTATAATGTTTTGTAAATTAAACACTGGTCAAAAATAAAATCAGCAGTACTTTGCAGCATGATGTACTGATTGTAGCAATACAAGCTAGAGACAAATCATAGGCTTAAGGACTGTTATCAGCAGAAATGAAACAACACAATAATACTGACACTGGTGTAGAGGAACTACCCCAAAACTCTGCAGACTACAGCAGATTGGATGGAAGACATTAACACTGCAGCCGCTTTAAGCGCCAGTGCTTCTCTCCCCTTTGCTACCTAAAGAGCAGCCATTTAACGTCTGTGACAATAACACTTTTCCTGTTGAGTGTACCATTTTGTATAGCTCACAGAATGCAACAATAAAACAATTGTTCTATAAAATTGTTTTTACAATTATAAATAACTTAATATAATAGAAATATTTCTATTTGTTTGATAAATGACTTTGCATAAAACTGTGATATAACAAGAACCTTAATAAAACAAAACATAAGAAACTCCAGTCCATCCCTGCACCGCGCGGTAACAATCACCTCCTCTTCAAGTGAGGAGAATGTCCAAGCGACAGTTTACCACTGTCCATCCTTCATTTTTCAGCCTCAAAGAACACACATTTTTGCTCTTCTGTTTACCTCCTTCTGCCCTGAGAGTCTTTTTGAGGCAACCTTGTGACCTCTAGCACAGCCAGGAGGTGGGCACCCACTGTGGCTCAGTGTCCAGCTTGCCTATCAGCCTCTGCAGCTCGTGGAGAGCCTGGTCCAGACCCATGTTCACAATGGTTGCATCAAAGAAGTGGCTAAAATTGTGCTCCATTTCTCGGGCCTTTTCAATGACCTCCTTCAGCTCCTCGGGCTGTGGGCAGAAAACGAGACATCAAACCATGCAGGTGAGAAGGTGATGACTCTTTAAAATGATATTATTGTGATAGCTCTGTGTCTCTTATTTCAAAATGTGATGCTTGTTCACTTCTGATGAAAACCAAGTCGAAAGAATCAGTTTTTTCTCTGTCTTTCTTCATGAAGAATCCGTGAGGTTGAAAATGGACTTTGAAAGCGCTTTTAACAGACCTATCTAGCTCTGTGCACTTTCTTTTCTGACATAAATCTTAAATGTTGCTCTCATTCTGCAAATAACTCCATGCATTATATACGAACTATAACGTTTACAACATACATATTAACTTCAAAGAAAAAAAAAAAGCCATTTTACAACAATGTACCTTTGGTGTTTTGCCCTCTGTGGCCAGCAGAGTGCGTAGTCGTTCCTGAGAAGGAGGAGCGATGAAGATGACATAGGGCTTGAGGTTGGAAGACCTCAACACTCGCAGTGACTGACAAGAAGAACGATAGGGACATAAGAGTATATGAAATGGAAGGAAAGATCAAAAAGGTTTGCCAAGTCAGTCAGCAATGATGACATTTTATCAACCAAAAACAGTTTTGAAATTTATGTTCTGGATATGAAAAGGCACAGTTATATTTAGGTTAAGATCAAGAGGGAGGAATACAATGGGCTTTATAATTAACATGTTAGACAGAAAAAAGGTTGAGAAATTAATCTGCCAGTCACAAGTACTGAGTCTCCTACCCTGGTGTGCAGGCAGAGTAAACAGATGCGGCCAGAGCTGATGACCTGTCGGACAGAGTCTGTGCTGGTGCCGTATAAGTTTTTCTCATATTCACCCGACTCGATAAACCTCCCGGCCTTCAAGTCGGCTTCAAACGCTGACCGACTCACAAAATGGTACTCGCGTCCATTTCGTTCATGTATCCTTGGGTTTCTGGTTGTATCTGGACCATAAAAAGGACAAATAATTAGTTGAATCTGACTTATTACAAAAACTTGTCAAACTATTTGTTCTACTCTTTCTTTAAAATGTAATCAGCCTTTTCAAAGGAGTAGTTTAACTTTATATTCTGTGCTAGTGTAATAGTGTAACTGGTTGTAAAACTGGAGCATTTTGTGAAGTCCCAGTGGACCAAAGGTGATGTTCATTTAAATTCTCCGAGTGCATGTTTAATTTGCATTCCTTTTAATTTATTGAATGTATGTCATCTGTGTGTCTGTGTTATTGTGCTGTTTTATTTTTGCACTGATCCTATTTATTTTATTTTTGTTATTTATTGTGATTTTATTCTGCCCGTGTGAAGTACTTTGGTCAACTGGATGTTGTTTTTAGTGCTATGTAAATACATTTGATTTGATTTAATTTGGTATGGGAACACATTTGGTTCCTCATCTGAAATCTTGAAAAAAACAGTCACATATTTAACGCTGCCGTGTCCCCAGGCCTTCACAAAACATGGACTTACGTGGAACAGCGACAGCAAACTTTTCTGGCTCAGTGGACAGAAGCCTCCGACGCAACTCATCATGACCACTGTTTGTCGGACCGATCAGAGCTATGGGGCGTTTACGATTTGCGGGCTGGTGATAAAGGGACATCTCCTCATAGGTCAGGATGTCATCATAGTCTGAAGTAACAGCACAGGAGGGGTTAATGAGACAACCAAATCCATTCTAGCTCTTGGGCTGCTGTACTGTTCTCTGACCTTTGACCTCTGTGTGGAGGCAAGAGGAAAAGCCTATAAAATACAAACACAAAACCTAAGCTTTCTACAGTTAGCCAGTGAGCAGTGTGTGCATGTGTGCCTATAAATGTGTTTCTATTTGTGAAGCAAAAATACCACAGGTCCCTCCAAGCCATTTATGCACCTGCTGGACACCTGTTGGTGCGTCTCCTGATCCTCTCGGTGAAGATGGAACTAATCTGACCTGTGACACCGAGTCTGGACAAGCTGCTGCGACAACGACAAGACATGCCAGCTCCAGCTAACATGTGGGGTTAATGCTAATGATGTGTGGACACAGTCTGTCAACAGGTGGTAAATGAGGAGCGACAGTGGAAGACATTTTGTAGGTCAGGTGTGTAGCTTGTCAATGGTGCTGCTGAAGAGCGAGCACATTCCTAAACCAGCAATCCACTTCACAATCTTTTAAACCGCTGATGAGAAACAGCTGAGCGTTACCAGTATTTTTGCTAAAGTTTGATGCGCTCTTCTTCCTGTGTGTCTTGCTTTTCTTTGCATACCAAAGCCGGCCTGAAAAAAATACAAGTGAAAAGAATTTAGCTTTTAAAGATGAATTATTTCAATCCACTAGATGCTGCAAATTGTAATATCATGTAAATCAGAGTGGATGTAAAATGTTTACATTTGCAGTGTCTTAGTCACACTGTTTGCATTTCAATATTCACCTTGGTGTTCTCGACTTCTGTCTGTAATAGTTTTCTTCAAGCTCTCTCTGTGTTGCTGAAAGCTTTTCCCTAAGAAAAGCAAATGGAACCAGATCAGATACCCAACACTCTAAATTTATATACACAAATCCAGTGTCTCTTCCACTTCAAAAGTCTATAGTTATTTAAAAATGTGTTTGAACATTTTGGATGTCTTGAATGATAACTGATGAATGATATCACCGGTGAATGCAACGGAGCTCATACTGTTCTCAAACTTTCCTGACATGCTGGAAAACAGGCAAAACGATGGCCTGCTTTTCATTTCTACTGCTTAACGTCCTTTAATTCCAGCCACAACAGGCCTTGGGTCAAAGAGTAATCACATAGAAGGTGTTTGTTTTAATCTGCTTGTTATGCCAAATGGGGGTGTTTCCTGCCAGGATGGTTCATGTAGTGTCAGGTTAGTTATTAGTGATTAAGTATATTCTTCACGTAGTAAAATTGTTTTAAAACTTTAATAATTGTTGCTGTTTTTTGTTTTGCTAGTATCACTGACTATACCTTTTAATGCAGTTTGTACAGTTGGAGTAGTTTAATACTCCAACTGTTATATACCTGTATACCTGAATACAAAAGTAAAAAAAACACAATAGAAAAATAATTACACATTTTACCATACCTGTACAGATTCTTCTACATGTTTACATTGTAGTAGTGTGGCCTTGCAGCTGGAATCTGCCGTTGTAAAGCAATAAACTTTCAGCTGTGGTCTGATCCCTACCTGGAATGAGTCCAGCCAGAGGCTGGTTGTCCTCGTCTCCATCTCTGTAGGCCTGCCACCAGCTGGGATCATCCTGACTGATGACATGGAGGATGTCTCCCTTCTGGAAGGACAGACCCAGCTCTCGACAGGGCACAAAGGGGTCATCAGAGGGGTCATAGTCAAAGTAGGCTTGTACGTGCATCTGAGGATGGGGTGAACAGTGTCAGTGTTGGGGGCTGTATGCACACAGACAGGCATTCTCACACACACACAGACGCCCACCTAATAAGAGACTTACCACAGTCTGTCTCTGTGGGGCAGGTTTAGCCTGAGAGCTTGGGATAAGGAGGAAGGTCAGAATGCCATGCATTTGTTGCTGGTGGAAAAAATGAGAAATGACAAAAACATAAAAAAGGGTGAGATGGGGGGAACCGTGGACCTGTCTGTGGGTCTGCCTGAAGAGCGCAACAGCCTGTGCTGTCTCTCTTTCGTGACCAACTTAAAGTAGCAGTTAAAAATAAATGTTTTAAGCCGGTAGTAAAACTGAAAACTACAACCCCAAATCAGAAAAGTTGGGACGGTATGTAAAATCAAAAGAAAATAGAGATGTACAAATCATCTGGATCCTGCAATACACTGAAAACAATACAGCAGCACAGTATTTGATAGGACACCTCATCAATTTTTTCCTTTGTTCAAAATCAAGAATCGATTTGGGGCTGGAGCTCACTAGCCCTGATAGAGTAGCTACTTCACAAGGCTGCCTGTGAAAGTCACTATGCTAACACCGGCTGTATCATTGTGATATTTAATAAATATTGTTCAGTCCAATATGCTAAAAGTGTTGAACACAAGAAACATCTGTGATCTTGTTGGTCAGTCGGCCCACCTCATCATAGACTTCGTGAGGCGTCCCAGATGCAGCATTGTCATTTACTACGACACACTATACAAGGTAAAACAATCGACTGTCATGTCCTACATTGTTTGTCGGATCTGATGCCCTACGTTTGTCGTGTCAGGCTGTTATTAGGCTTAGATCGTAGTCTGAACTGGGCATAATGTGACCTAGTGGTTCAAATTTCTAAGCTATTAAATGTACACAGTAAATAAATTTCAGAACCTGGAGGTACACTATAACAATTCTCATGAAATTAAAACAAAGTTGGAACAGAGCTAGCTGTCCACAAACTACTGTACAATAAATAATCACAAGTGTACTTGGCACCATTTGAATAATCCCTGGTCTTTACCAGTAAATCGTGGACTTCATTGATATGTTTCCCACGTATAGGAATTCCATTGATTTCCAGGATCTCATCTCCCTCACTGAGGAGGCCGCTCCGCTCTGCTGCTCCGCCTTTCACCACACGACTCACCACCACACTGTCCATGTCGTTACGCACTGTCGCACCCTGATTGCCAGACAGAAACACGGAGTTCAAACACAGTGAATGACCGAGGTGATCTCACAAGACAAGCAACACACTGAATAATGAAAATGCAAAAGAAACACAGCGACTATAATATTTCTCCCCATTTTGTTTGAAATTCTTTCATGTATCGAAGTAGTAAACATCTCTTTCAGTTTTAATAAAGATGTTTGTGATTGGCTTTCACTTTGCACCGTGTCAGAGGGTATCGGTATAAAGTTGAATGTTCCTTAACCTTCCCCTGTAGTGTAGCTGGGCACTTTTCGAATCTCTCCAGCCCTGCAGGGGCGGCGGGCTGCAAAGTCAGGTGTCATTCACGGTGAGTGGTAGCTGTCACCGACCCAAGCTTTTGAATTCAAATGTATGAATGCACCGTAATAGACAATGACAGTATCTTACCAGTGGAGTGTCACAGGCTTTCTCCAGCCGCACCAATTTAACTGTCTCTCCAAGGTACTGGGTCATGATTTCTTCTGCCATTTCCTGCACTGCCACACTGTCGTGGGTTTGCATCAGTGCCTGCCATATAAAACGAGTACAGGCACACATAAAAACCAATAGTATGCACATTCAGAAATGTTAAAAACATGTAATAGACAGAAATAATGGAGGAGGCAGTATGAGGTACAGAGAATGATAGGGGAAGCTGTCCCTCATAACAGCTACAGTATGATTGGCGTGGAAATTAAATGATCATAAATCTAGTACAGCTTCAAACAGTTCATGGTTTGTGCTTTGGATATGAACTAACAAAAGATAAATAACAGCAAACAAGTTTCCAAATGCCATCCCTTAGATGTGCACCTGCTACCAGAAAAAGCTTTTTAACAAGATCAGTCAGCTAACCCACCTGCAAGCCAGAAATTATACAGAAATTGCTCCTTCACTTCATTTAATGTGACAAGTGCTTCATTCCCCACAATTAATAACTGTCACACCAAATTAGTTCCTCTATCCTGCAGCAAAGGGACCCGAGAGAGCAGAGGCCAAGCTAAGCTTTGGCATACATGCAATCTGTCTTAATCTCCCCTTGCATTTAGGATCCACCGCCATCAGTCATCAAACACCTTGGACTAACTCCGCTCCTGAGGAAAATGTGCCCTAGAAAATGGTGAGAGGGAGACAGGTGGACTTGAGGGGGGCCCTATTCCTCTCACACATACCTGTCTCAATTATTTTGAGTACAAGGTTGTTTACCTGCATAGACTACAGGGTGATTCATGATCCTCCACTCCCTGCAGAGAAACCAACATAATTTGTTCCACTTTCTGTGCCACAAGGCAGAACCACATCAGATACTGACGCCCCTGCTGGCAACAAGGTTCTGACTCAGTGGAGTGTTTAACAAGCCAGTGCGACAACTGTGGTTACAGGGGGTCAAACATCAGACCCCTGGCACTCCTTTGTCAGAACCCTCAACTGTAAAATGGAAGCAGTCATACACCCGAGGTCTTTTCTCACCGTACTGACTCACTAATGGAGGATGGCAGCCTGAATATTTACTTCTTTTTGAATGATTAATTACACATACTTTAAATCTTTCATAGCCCAAAACACCTCCACTAAAATATTGGCTTACTTTTATCTAGATGCTCTGTCAAATAGGCCAGAGTAGATCAAAAATGTCCACTACTGAATAATTTTTTACTGCTGGAATGTATGTATTAGCAGTATCATGCAATTATTTTTAATATACATTCAGCGGCCACTTTAATAGTTACACTTATACAATTGTATGCACTTCAGTGCAAAGCGTCTGTGTTAATGAAGCTCAAAATGTATAAACTCAATTATATATTTATTACTGAGGTCATAGTTAAAAGTGGTGTAGCACCGGACTACATTATATTCAGAGGTGTCTATCAGAATCAGAATATTAGGAACACCTCTAAATATAATGTAGTCCAGTACAACATGACATTTAACTATTTCACCAAAGACTGAAACATTTTGAGCATCATAAACAGAGATGTTAAGGTGGAAGTGTTGCAATGAATTGCATACAATTGGACAGGTGTACCTAATAACGTGGCCAGCAAGTTTATTAAATACTCTGTGGATCACAGGTTACGTCTTGTAATTTGTCTGACATCATTAATGTACTGTATTTGAGAAGAGAATTCACCTGTCATGAGGACATATTCCCCTTACTAGAGCTAGTCATTTATCTAAACTATTCTAAATGATTGCAAAACTACTATAAATTACACTAATATACATCATGCTGCAGGGCATGTTCAGCACCAATACACAAGAAGACAAACCAGCAAGATGCTTGACATTTCTCGTTTTTAAATTAATTTAAAGGAATGTGACAAGCACACTGTGACACAGAACACAGATTTCGACTTGCTGTTTTGTTACCAAGAGACCTGACCCCCATTATAACCTAATTTACATAATGTTCTTTCTTGAGATTCATCTTTGGATCAAAGCACTGGCTAGTTTACCTTGACAATACACCCTCAATAAACAGCAAACGACAACACACAAAATGAATGTGTCATAAAGGAACTAATTTGTAAAACAAGCTCCTGCCTAGCGCTGGCACCAGCATGACAGGACCTTATGACTTCCTTCTTGACGTGGCTGCTTTGTCATTCTTTCCTGATGTACTGTATCATGATGGAGCAATTTGTCAAATGTTCTGCCTTTTAACCAAGAATATATTATGGAGGCAAAGTGAAACTGCCCATCAACTGCCTTTGAGCTGGTACAGTAAGCTGGCAAGTACTTCTTTTTCCCATCATATTGTAGCTCTTGAACTGTTACACTGCACCCTGACCTCTGACCTCCAAGAAGAAGGTGCGAGAGAAACAAAAACCATACTGAAAGCAGTATAGTATAACAGTCATGTTTCTAGTAGTCTAATTATCAACTTTTTGACTAAATAAATGAGTTGGTTTATGAGGCATTTGCTGAGCCTCACTTGGCGATGGCTTAAAATCCTTTTGGGTCAAAGGGAGATATGATAAGTCACAGCTGGTACGTTGATCTCTGACCTGGAGATGAGGGTTTGTGAGCAAGGCCTTGAGCTCCACACCTTCCTTCTGGTGGCTGGACTGGAGAATCTTATGAACCTGCAGAGAAATACAGCTCTAATATGCAGCTGGAACACCAGCATCCTCACCGACAGACTACTGTGCTCCGAAGGAGACGAAGCTGCCTGCTAATAGAGCTAGCTTGTTCAGATAATTACTGTCGAGCATCAGAACAAGTTCTGAACTGGCATTAGCTGGATCGACTGACCACATATTCTCATTCTAAGTGGTTAGTTTGACACCTGAAAAATGTTAAAACTTAATAAAGTGGCATAATACCCTGTTTCATTTTAAGTCTTTTATTTGTTTTCTCCTGTTACACTGTCCTGTTAAATCATGTGGTTGTTGTGTTGTCATTTAGTGAGACAATAATAATGTTTGTGGCTGTTTAGGAAATCATGACAATATGCATTTTGAGGTTCTGTTACTCTGTCTTTCTGCCTCTTCCTTTTCATCCCTTGCGTGGAGCTTAAGCCATTACACTAATCGAAGGTCTCACTAACAAGGTGACACACTTTCCCCTTCCCCCAGCAGAACTGCCCACACTACTGTAAGCTGCTGGAGTTTCTTTTTCTGGTTTCCTGGATCCTGGCATTCTACCTGTGGTGTGCTGTACCAAAGGCTGCTGAGAGATTTACACTTAGTTTAGAGCCACTGCAGCTCAAACAACATTGTTATGTGTTTTTAAGTGCTTTGGGAGCTCGCCTAATGGATGAGTGCACACACTGATTTACTGTACATAGGAAGGCGACGTGTTGTGCGTATGAGGCAGGACAGACCATCTCACTCAGTCCCTGTGTTCAAAACCACTGCTCTCAAGACTGGAATAGCAATTCTGTATCAGTGTTGCTTGGTGCCCTTTGAATGAGCTCTACCCTAGCTCACAGCATCCTATTTCATCACAACAAAGATGACTCCTATACATCTAGCCATCAGCTTAATTAAAAAATACTGCACTGAAAAGCCTACATTACATTCTTTTATGTTTTACTTATTAAAAGTTGACACTAATGATAATGAAGTAGCTACTATGATCACCACTGAGCCATTTCCATAACTGTTCATAATGCAACACAAAGGGCTTTCACATAATTTTTGTTTTCAGCTTTAACAAGCTGCTTCAAAGTGACCATTTCTCATACCTCCTGGCAAAGGTCCTGTGCTTGTGCTGTGAGTGGTGAGGTGGGACTGACTCTGCTCATCTGCTGGGACACAGTGCTGTAGATAGTGTAAGCATTTCTGAAGTCCTCCTTGGCAAGGAGCTGCATTATCAGCTCCACGTCCTGCTGGCTCTGTGCGTCAGTCAGGCACTGCTGTACCCACTTCAGTGCTTGCAGCAACTCATCCAGTTCTGAGAAAGAAACCCAGACAGTGAGGGGACTGGTACAGAGGCAATATATATGAACTGTATTTACACCAATAAAGAGATTCTGATACATTTAGAGGTGCAAACATTTGAAGGGGACTCCCTCAGTTATTTTGCTTTTGCTGTGTATATATGTAAAGTACGGATCCTGTTGCTAAGCTGCTGCCTTTCAGAGTAATAGAAATACAGTATCTTTACACTTGTGTGTCTGACAGGTGAGTCAGAAGGCAGCAGAATTCAAACTATATTTTGTGTGGGAGTCTCCCTCCTTGAGATTTTCTGATTTTTCTCCTCAACAAATGATGTGAAGAAATCAAATATTGATCCTCTGCAGTGGAGGACTAGAATTACACTGCTGCACCTCCAAAGTGCCTAGGACTATTCATTTTTATTCAAGTCACACTACTTAGTGTTTGGACTGGAGAGTTATCGCGGCAGACAATTTAATTTAATAACATTTAATTAGAAAATGCATTTTCTGTATTTGATCTTTTTGTAAATACAACAAATAACACTACAGTAATTAGTCTCAAACTACAAACAAAGCGCGTTTACTTAAAAAGGGAAAATTTAATTAAATTCTGCAGACAAAATAATGAAAATAATATCTTTTGCACACAAACAAACCAATATGGTGATCTACAGTGGTTATGTACTGTAGCTGCAACACCCTTTTACAGGGTTAAAGTAATAGAATAATACTCTTTTATTTTCCTGGGGCCACTAATTAAGTGTGTTCTTCAGTCCAAAACTGGGGCCAAGGCACAAACCCTCTCCTCCGCTATGACCTCTGCTCTGCCCTCTGCTCTGCCTTGTCATTGTTTTGCTTCCTTTTGTTTTCAGTGCCCTCCCTACTCTTCTTCCAAGATCTGAGTCCTTTGTAACCTTCCTTCCTCCTTCCACCCTCTTTGACCCCTGTAAAGACCTCACAACCATCACACGCCCTCCTCTTGACTCACCAGCTGCGGGATCCTGGGACCATGTGTCTTTGGTGGCCTTTTCCTTCCCCTCAAAGGTAGGATTGTCAATCCCCACCTTGGGGTTTTGTGATAGCTTCTTGAGCCTCAGTGAAGCACTGGGCTTGATGTCATACTTTCCCCTGTTGTCCTCCTCTCTCTCCTTCCTCAGCTCCTCCTGGTAGTGCTGGATCCTCTCCATGTGGGTGCTGCACTGTGGGGATGTGTCCTCTCCTGGACAGTCCACGGCCCTCTCCCTGTGGCTCTTGGCCTGGCCAGAGTCCTCTTGCACATAACCGTTCAAATGGGATGTGATCATCCCTGCAGCAGCAGCAGCAGCATACAGCTTCAAACGAATGTTTGCTGCAATCTACTTGGTTGCTACGAGGCACTGGGGCTGAGACTTCTCAAATCAGGAGCCATAAGATGACAGTGAAGTATGTAGTCCTTTATGTTCTCTATGTGATCTGGCATCATGAAATACAAGCAGAGTTAGAATGGATTTCCTTGTTATTTTCACACAACTTTGTGTTTACATGGTTGACATTAGTATTGTTAAAAACTGTACATTTCAAAGAGGACATGGCAAAAATGAGAAACTATAAAATATAAAAAATATATAAGATAAAATAAAAATCCCTGACTGTCACTTTTATCACATTCTTAGGAAACTATAGCTTCATTCTCAAATAATGTTAAGTACACACCATTATTGGGACTGTTGTGGATTATAATCTATTTTAAGTATCATTACTAAATTTGACAGTCTGAAAGATGGCCAATTTGGATTTATGTTAATCTATATTTTATAACATTCTGCAAAAACTGTCACTGAGTGACAAGTGAAAGTGATCCCTGCCAAAAAAGGAGGATATACAGTATATCTAAAGCCAAAAGCATGTCTTCATCTTTCACATAGTTACATTAGCTTCTGGTTAAAAACTATGCAGAGGTTTAGGTAGGGCTCTTTCTCTAACCTGCTTTTGGCTTAAATATACTGCACCCTAAACAAATCGATATATGCATTACCAGGAACCAAAACTGTGAAAAATATCATACTTTCTATGTTAAACTGTCCTCATTGCTACTACTTACCAGGTAAAGATGCCATTTAAAAACACTCATGTACCATAAGGATAAACATGTCAATGAAAGCAACCTTTGAGGGTCATGTCCTATTGTCAGCCCTCCCCCTTTTCTACCTACTTCCCACCCCTAATTACATCTGGCAGGTCTATCCCCCAGACTCCTCCCCTGTGGAAGCATGTAGCTTCCTTAAGAGTGGTGGTGTATGGCTGACAAACAGCAGAGACTGCTAGCAGGCCATCTGTTCCTGTGGGCTTAGTTAAGCCTTGGATCTCATGCTCTACTCTAGCTCAGTGGCCACACTAGCACTGGAAGAGATGCTGGGAAGGGACAGAGGGACCTGGTTAGAAGAATGGGGAAAAACGTGCACTCCCCTAACTGACTGAAGAGGGCATTCTTCCATGTCACACATGTAATCGCTATTGAGACTGAAGCTGTACCTTGACTTTAGAACATCATATCCCAGATATTCTAATAGTAGTGTTCAGTATACTTGTTACTGACTGCTCTGTCTGAATAATGGCTGCTGTAGTTAACTATGACACTAGCATGTCTTACCATGCCATATTTAATATAACCATTCTAAAGTCCATTAACAACCTAATCCCACTCCAAATTAATAATGCTCCTCTAAGTGGTAAGCATCTTTTCTTTAGGATAGATTTCTCACTCCTTTAATCACTAATCACAACTAAACATTGAATATCATCCTGGTGCAGTCATAACAATATAACTGCACTCTGTAATTATTCTTTGCGGCGTTAAATCCATCAAAACGCTTCACAAGCGATTTGCATATACGCTCAAAGAGCACCAATATGTGAAATATTACTCATCAAGAGCTTGATTATTTGTAGGGAATTACTTTACATGTCTGCTGGACTTTAGTCACTTAGCTAGCTACATGATAGGTAACGTCAGATCAACATCAACATTAGATTTCTGACTATAATTAGCTATATGCACACACCTCGAGGATGAAAACAAAATATATTCTAGTGCATTAGTCATTGTCCTGTGGCTTAACTACCGACATGGCTTGAGGTAACGTTAACATTAGCTAGATGTAACATTTTTTCAATGAGAGTCACCGGAGGAATCACAGCAACTGAGTCTTTGCTATTGTTTAGAAATAATTACCTATTTTGTGCAACTTTACAAATGAGTGTTGCACATTCATACATCGTGGCAAAAGCAGACTTAATACATTTATAAGAACACTGTTCTTAATTTTAATGTGCAAAATTGGACTTGTACTAACCTAACAACAATGGCAAAGACTTTAGCCAAGCGCCCCTTTACCGCTAACTGCGCAGCATAACGGTAACTGTCCCGTAACAGACTGCGTTTACTCATCAACGCAACTTCAAAGACAGTAAGATGAATGGGCTGAGGTAAGAAGCTGTTATTACTTTATAATCCAACGTCCTGAAAATGTGTGTTTTACTCACAGTCTGAGAAAGCACAAGATCTCTACCGGTCTTCACGGGACCACGTTCAGCCGTTGTACTGAGTGAGTTTTGCCCAGGCACGGTTGGGGCACTTGTAGCCATTGCTGTGAAGCCGCCTGGTGTTTTGAATCGTCTCCCTGGCAACACAGCGGCACCACAGCGCCCCCTCTCCGTCATATATGTAATGACCATGTTTCCCAAGTTGTAGCCAGCAGATACACGATGTCCACGTCCGAATAATGCAGTGGTGCAAAGTAACTACAGTAAGTACATTCAAGTACTATCCACAAGTACAATTTTGAGGTATTTGTACTTCGAGTATTTCAATTTTTTGTTACTTCATACATGGACTTCACTACATGTCAGAGACAGATCAAATTATTTAAACAAAATACAGTATAATCATAAGACTTTACTGACCATCCAGGGGAAAATTCACAATTTACCCAATATTACGAGTCATATTAGTTTAGCTCCACCTTTACCAGCTTCACCATTAATGTAAAAGGTGCCATTCTGCGTAAAGTATTTACCACTACTAATAATTTTTTTTTTACTTTCACTTCAGTTTTGAATGCAGGAGGTTTACTTGTAACAGAGTATTTTACAATGTGATATTTCTACTTTTAATTAAGTAAAGGATCTGAGAACTTCAGCCACCACTGTAATAATGTGTATTACATGATTGGATGTAACCAGTTCATGGTTAAGCACATGTTTCAGCTGATACTGCTGAAGAGCTAGTTTTTATCATAATTGTTGATTACATTTTGTATTAATAATATGAATCTGCAAGGTAACTATGACTGTCAATAAATAAAGGAGGATATTATAATCATTTACTATCATATAAAACTGTGAAAATAGCAAGTATAAATTCTTCCAAAGCAGAACCTTAATATTCCCTAATCAACCTACTGTGCAGTTTTTATCTCAGTTGTCTAAACAAGTTAAAGTGTCCCTAAGAAATTTAGAAATTCAGGGAGTAATTCAGAGATTAAAAAAAATCAACTGGTAAATCTCCCACTGTTCTGTTAGTGTATTCTTTAATAAATAAACATATTGTATTCTTATTGCATTTGAGGCTATGAAGAGTTTATTTTCTACAGTAATCTTCACACAGATCCCCTTACACTCCACACATTTTATCCACATTCATATAGATGAATTTAACTAAATTCTTGTCACATCACTATAATCATCCCCTGCTAATAGAATGTAGTGTCATTTCACCTTGCAGAGCAGAACACAAATGATATAATCTCATGCTCTTTCTAAAATATCTTCACCAACGCCTGAGGCTGCCTTTTCCCCCGTTGTAGTTTCTAGTAGGTTAATCCTTTCTGACACCTCTGCACTTAACCTCTTTTCCTTATTAGGCTGTCTCCTGCTAGTTCCTGATTCTTAAATACTTATCTTCCTGGAAAGAGAGACAGTTAAATCCCTTTTTACTTTCCAGTGATTGATTCCAGTGCATGGTTTTTTTTTTATCTAAGGAGCAATGGTGGAAGAAGCAGTCAGATGGCCTAATTTACTAAATTCAACAATGTAAAAATAATTACAAGTCTCACATTAAAACTTGTACTGAAGAAAGTATCATCAGATAGACTGTACTTAAAATACATAAAGTAAAAGTACTCGATATTACTGGGTAATGATATATTGTATGACAGCATGCATCAGTGGATTGAGTATATTGTTTTTTACTTTTTGCTAATCCGACTTTACCTATCTGGACTTTGAACTGTTATTTCCCGCCTGACAAACACCAGACGCATCACCACACATTCTCATTGTAAAGCTCCTTAATTATGAGGATAAGGTCCAGGCGATGAGAGCAGCACACCAAAAAGGTAAAGTGGTGTAACCAAAACCATTAAACCACACAGTGGGTGTACTAAGGTACTGTATATACAAGGAAATCAGGAAAATACACAGGAAGTTTAATATGAATATGCTCTATGTGTATATGGTGACTTAATGTTTACATAGCCTGGTCGCACAGAGAGCAAACCCTAACGAAGCTTTAGTAATCCAGGTACGACGTTTAAATGTTCCTTCCGGGGGGGTGGGGTTGCGGGTGTATCTGTGTATTTCAACACAAGAGGGAAGTTATGGTTATTAGAGTTATGGGTAGACTACGATTGGAATATTGTTTTGTTTTACTATTGCTGTTGTTAAGGTGCACAAATTTGTAGCAGTGGCTGTTCTGCTTCACAGATCTCCACAATTACATATACAGAAAACTATACTAGACCCCAAAGGTATTCAAGGATCTCTGCTAAACCAGAACTTGGTCCTAATAAATTTATATGGCCCCAATGAAGATGATGCAATTGTTTATAATAACTTATTTTTGCAGATTTCCTCAGTACATGGTGACATAATAATGGGGGAAGACTTTCATTGCATCCTAGGCCCGCAACTGGATCAATCCTGCTGCTGGTTTAGGTTGACATGATTGTCCAGATTGTAGCTCAAGTGATCTTGGGTTTGGTAAAGTTATTTGTTTTTGTTGTTTTTTTTTGTTAAATTGAAAAGTCAATAAAGACAATTTGGAAAAAAGATTTTATTAAAAAAAGAAAACCCAACAAGAACTTTTTTTTTATATAATGATCAAGGATTTTTATTATTTCAGTCTCTTATCTTAGTCTCTTTCATCAGTTTCATATCATTACAGAAAATGTTATAGTACAGCGTTGTTCAATGTCTCCTCATTGCTTAATAATTTCCATAGGAGTGCTGGTCACATATGTCTGTACAATATGGATCTCATTTTTTCTGTACATCTTTTGTGAAGTTGGTTAAAAAGGCAGTCAGCACTTAAAGAAGCTGTTTCTTTTCCTTCTCTTTTTGTTAAATAGTTGATCAAATAAAAGATTATTTTTCCCAGGTTGAGCTCGCCCCTGGGAGGGGGTTGGGGGGGCGGTCTGGGGCAGAATTTACACCCGGTCACCGTGAATATAAGGAAACCTCAGGGTCTAGGCAGACCGGGGCGTGCCTCCCCGCCCCCCAACATCACCTCCTCCCTACCCAGGCATTTGGCACTGCGCACATAAACAAGACTCACAAGATAAACAACAAGCAAAGCTCTTTGTGAAGCCATTATGATGCATATTAATGAGAGAATAACTGAAGTGTCACCTTGATGGGAGCTCAAAAGAGGAAGTGGCCTTGATGTGCCCCTTCGTCCTCTTAGCTGAGCACCGTGAAAAATCTGGAGTCTTCCTCAATGTTTTCTTCATTTTCAAAAAACAGGTTATTTTTTTCAACTAAAGATGATAAAATAATACATTTCTTTTTTGTCCTGGCAGGCACCTACAGCTGTCTATTAAAATGCTACTGCTATAGATAAGGTCTAGCATTGAACACACAAAGCAATTGCAATGAAAGGAACAAAGTTGCCTTAATATAATAATGGTAATAAGAATAATAATGATAATAATAATAAGAATAATCATAATAATATATTACAGAATAAACCTCTTTTGATAATTAGATTTTTTCATTAAAAGTTATATTTTCTTTGTTTGAAATACTATAATCTTTTTAAATGAATTTTTTTCATATGTATCTAGATTGTGATCAAGATGTTGACTATACCTCAACGTTATCCAAATCAATAAAAACTAGCTGTGCCGTTGCATATTACAGAATAGTCAATGATATGTGGACATGCACCGTGAACCACCCGTTCCAACCCTCGCTATATGACGCCAACCCTCCTTCCCTCTGTGATGACATCATAGCCGGCCAATGACCATGACGTCAACCACCTCGCCCTTGTGCAGCTCCACGTATTGCTCTGTTTTTGGAGGTAGCATCAGGAGCCCGTTAGCGCTGCGCATACTCATCAACCTGCTGCTCACCTGGTTCCCTGCAGTAAATGGGAGTAGACAAAATACTTTAGATCAGAGTTTTGAGCCATGAGGAAAAACTGAGATTTTATTTTCTTTAATTCCATTAATAAAAAAAATGTGTCATGATTTAAGTGGTCCCAAAATTATATTAAGTTTGCAGTTTGATCAGTTAATTATCTTATTTTTCATTGTCAATCTGGCTAATGGTAAATGCTGTAGAGACCAAGCGCTCTAATCAGTTTCATAGACATCAGTCTGGCATATTCTTTTTACTTCCAGTATGTCTATATAGTAGCTCATCAAGTGTAATAGTACTTTATTATTTCTGCCCTGATGAAAACCCTCTAAGGTGGCAAGGATTCTGCATTTTAAATTCAACTAAAAAGCTTTTAACACAACTTTTCTAGTTGTCTAAAGAATATTTACTTTCCTAGGTAATATTAAGTGTGCAAAAAAGTGTATTTATGTAAAAATAAAAAGTAAAAAAAATCCACCTATTTGAATGGACAAAAATGTGAGGCAAATGTTTCTATGAAGTACCTGCATTTCAGTCAATGTGTTTATTTTTTTATGTACTTTATGGACATACAGAAGTAAAAACTAACTCTAAAAATGATTCCATCTAGATAAATTCACATTCTTTAGTCATTAGGTGACATTGTTGGGCATCAAAGGACTGAAACACCACCGATGGGGATAAATATCTCCGACTCAACACCAGTCGGGCAGAACTGATGAAGCCTCTTGATGAGAGGTGAAACGTCTTCAACCTAGAAATCTAAGTTTTTTCTGCTTACTATGACCTGGATGACTGAGAATCTGCATTGACATTCTTTACCTTGGATTTTTGCTTAACACTGAGCAATTAATTACACATTTTGCCATCAACCAGTGAACAGACAGTTTACCTTGGATTTTTTTTGCCATCAACCAGTGAACAGACAGTCTTACTCAGATCTGTGCTTGTCATACAGAATCCAACAGTACCTGTGCTCTGTGCCCACGGAAGGGGTTCCTGGTGATGCCATGTCAGAATGCAGCGGTGATATTCAGGACGAGGGTCCAACTTGACATCACAAGACAACTGAAGAAGGAACAACAAGCTAAATTATATTGGTATATGTCAACAAGTCATCTTTGTCTTGAATATTTGTCTGTAATCATTATAGTTTTCCACTTACAATCTAAGACAGGAATGATTTACTGCATTAGAATATTATACATAGTGTACAGATAATTTCAAAGAATCATTCTCACAGTACAAGAGTCTT